GAGCAGATTTCTAGCACAGACCAATTTTAAGGGGATTAATAATAAATATCCAAGATACATAGCAGCAGCGTGGGTTTTGGAAATGGAGGAAACCAGCAAAAGGTGGAGGCTGTGTTCACACTGAAAATGGACTAATTGGAGCAGATCTTCTAGGACTGCCATCCAGCATCATGTCTGTTGGCTTTGGAAAAGGAATATTGATATAAAACAATGGAGTTCAATCCGTACAGCATACAGATCTATTATCATTGCATGTAAATAACAATTTTATACTAGCATTTTAAACTATCACTCCCTTCTTAAACAGTATGCTAATTTTCTTAAAGAGAAGTCTAATTGTTCTCTTTGTATGCAGCTCCAAGTCAAAAGCTTAATTTATCACTCCAGTTGGATAATTAAATCATACAATTTTCATCTCTTGTGACTTTTTCTGTCCCAGAAATCTTACATTCTTCTTCTCCAGCGGCCTTCCACAGAGCACAACTCCTGACAGAGGTTTCACCTTTAATTTACTCGTGCCAATAGGACAGCTGTTTGTCTCAATTCAGAAGTGAGGCTTCATTTTCCTTTCCTTGAGTTTCACTGCATATTTGTTTTCCTGAAAAAGAAACCCCATCTCTCCTACACATAGCTTCTGCAGGCACTACAAGACAGCATTATTTTTGCTCTTCCCCATGACCTGATTTTGCAAACCTGCAAGTACTCCTGCTTGAATCAGCAGCCTGGGTTGCATGGGTATGGTTTGCTGAATGGATTCACTTGAAAATCAAAACATGCAATTTGAGCTCCTGTGTAGTGCGGTATGAGTATTGCAGCATGTGGGCAATTAGAGCTAGAGCTGCAAGGCTGAAGCTGCTGTACATTGAAGATGATGATACCCCACTACAGGGAAGTCCTGGGAGTCACTGATGCATAGCACCCCATAGGAGCAGGCTGCGTAGCTATAGGCTTGTATTGGAAAAGAAATTGAAGGTCTAGAAGAGTTCACGCTTGGCGAGGCGTTTCTATTAGAATTCCTTCTAAGGGTCATCCTCCTTGCTTCATTACTTTCCTTCAAAATAAGAAGTTTCTGAAAGTTCAGCTGTGCATCAAATAGGCCTGGAAGTGAGCAGTCCTGCTAAAGGCAGGAGAATAGTGCACATGCCAGAAATGAAGACCTCCTAGTCAGCACTGCTCGGAGATTTTGCAGGACTGCATCTGGTAAGAGGGATCTCTGAAGGGCTTTCCTGTGGTGTGCTTGTGGGCTTGTAAGAGATGGTACTGCAGTTAGTCTGCAAAGTAGCAACTGTGGTGTTGAAACATTGGTTCTGACACTATTTCTTGGGTCTAATGGTGGCTATACCTGCAGTTGCATTAACTTTGCTTAGCCATTGTGCTCTCAATGCAACTGCTGTGTTGCTGCACATTGAGGCAAGGGTTTGGCAAAGCAAGAAAAGCTGACCCTAGGACTGGCTTTGTGCTTTGCTTTGTGTTAGGGTACTGGCTTGCTTCTGAGGTTTCGCAACATAATGCATCTAGTAGCAATGCTGACTTTTCTTTACTGGAACTGCAGATCAGCATCTCGTGCTTTCCCCACTGATTTTTAAACGCATCACATTTTTCAGTACATTTATTCATGTCACTGTTAAGCAGCATTTAAAATTACGACACTGGTTCAGCAGGTGCTGGGATGCTGCTCACCCTCCTTCCCCATCTTCCCCAGCATTAACCCTGTAGGATCTTCTGTGTCTTCAGGCCCAGCTGACTGAGGATGATCCCTCAGGAATTCCTGGTGGAAAAGCTGAGATGCTGCTAGAATTTAAATTAAATGTGCTTTGTACCCAAATGTACACAAAGTGTCATTATTTTGGGTCATGCAGCAGTCTATCTTGAGGTGCAGTACCTTGTTGAAAAAAGACATCAGTGCTTCTGATGGCATTTGTAGCGTTGACTCTCATTGATAAAGCTGTGCCCACTTAGGGCTTAAGTGGGACCTCAGAAGTGATCGAAATCTCACTCTCTGCAGCTGGCTGGAGAGCAGAGGTGGAAGGCACAACTACAGATTTGTTTCCTTCCCTTTAATTTTTAAATAGTTCATTTTTTAGGTTTCAGGTAGTGGTCTTTTCTTGTGCAGAGATTGTAGGTCCTTCTGTGAGCAGGTTTGAGTGCAAATGTGCTGCTGCCTCAGAAAGGTAGACTCTTTTATGTCTTGCAGTTGTGACCCAGTACCTATGTAGGCATTCTTTAAGCACCACTAATGTTCTTTAAGTGCTGTTTTATTTACAACTTGCAGAAGAGTGATGCTTAAAGAATAGACTGTACTGAAAGAAGGAGCTGAATTGCCTGAACCAGTTTCCAGAGCAGTGCACTCCATGCTGTTAGTTTTAGTATCTGCAAGCAGATTTTTTCTGTGTGCATGTTAGCCTTGAGACAGCAAGGAGCCACACAGGAGGAAGCACTGTGATACCGGGGCAGCGATTTTGTCAGAGGTCTTGTGTTCACCTTGAAAGGTCTGCTCCTGAGATTAGCCAGATTGCTGAAGTTGCACAGAGATGCAGACAAGGAATCCCTTTGAACACTGACCTTTTGCTTTTCCCTTTTTAGTGAAAAATTATTCAAGGGAGCAGAAAGTGACTCATTTTGTGCACTGCCTGTCAAAGAGGAAGGAAAGTACAAGCAAGTGCCCAGGTGTAACCCAGTGAATGCAAATGATTTATGGAGTAGCTGCTGTAATAATTTCCAATTACTTCCATCATCATCCAGTACCAACTATTTATGGGTATGAGCTTAAACACATTGCCTAGATGACATAGGTGGCATAGGCAGCTGTGTGACTGTTACACACTCCAGCATCTCTTTGTGCCTCTGCTCAACAGGTATCTCCTAGTGATTTACACAAGGAAGACAAGCCCTGCCAGGCAACCCTTTCACTTCAGCTTGGCTTTTCTGCACTGCACCCAAACTAACGAAGCAAAGTTAGGTACTTGGTACATGTACATCCTGATCTCAGAAACAGATATATAGGCGATTTTTCTTGTGGGCTGGAAAGGAAAGCAGCTCACCTGACCTGGCTAGCTGCATATGAGCACGGAAGATGTTTGATGTCCTTGCCCATGGCAGGGGGTTTGGAAGTAGATGATCTTGAGGTCCTTTCCAACCCTAACTATTCTATGATTCTATGTGGCGCTGGTTACACAAGACATTCCTTGTCTAGCTGAGGAGTGTCTGATCACCTTTGTGAACCACAGCCACAGCACCCCATCAGTGCAGAACAGTGGCAATCAGCTGGCTCAGAGAGAGAGGAGGCAAACTTTTCTAGGCAGAAAACTGTTCTAGAATAACTTTATGTAAAAGTGAATATTTCATTCCTTCTAGGTGCCACAGATTTCATCTGCGGTTAAAATAAATGAACAAACATGGGCTAGAAATAACAACTTCAGACAGGAGTGAGTTTGTAAAAGGAGAAGGTTAGGTTGAGCTGACAGTTTGAAGTTACCAAGATACACCCAAGCTAAAGGAATCAACCATCAGACTGCCAGTCAGCTCCACATTCTGTGCTATTTAAGTGGGGCTTGGCAGGTAGTTTGTGAACTTGAACAGACAGTGGAGCTTTCATAGAGCTTCAGCATCACTAAGCAGCATGCTTCATGGTCCCAAGAGGCTTGAAGTATTTTTTCCTCCTTAGTATGCCCATACTAAGAACAAACTTACTTAACAAGTGATAGCAATGAATCAGCTGAAGTTAGGACCTTTGGGTGTGCCTTAAAGGATGTAACTGGTATTCTGCCTTTATGTCAGGATTCTCGTCCATTTTCAGCAGTGAGAGCTATTTCAGTGCATCTTTCTTATCTTCCCTGCCACTTTTTACCTTTTTTTTTTTTTTATTAAACTGTGCCCTGCTTCTGTTTAATGCACCAAAGAGCAAGCGTTACACTGATGGTATAGCTCCAATTCCTTAGTGGCGTCTTCAGGGAATTTAAAGTGATCAAATTCCCTTGTTAAGGAGGACACTGACTTGGAGATCACTCTTTTCTTCAAAATATAACCTAAATTTAAAAATAACCTTGCAACCCAGGTAGTAATTATGTGCATTTAAAATGCAAGCTGTGACAGATGGTTGTACAAATCCATGCACAAGCAAATAGCCTTCAGAAGACCACTGTACTACCTTGTCTTCACAGACACTTAGGTCCTATATAGTAACCAATTTTATGAAATACAGTATGTCTGTTAACCAACAGACTGAACTTTTCAGTTGCTAAGTAACTAATCCAATCCAAGGAGGAAATAAAAATAGCATACATAATTTTAGAACCTTTAGGACCTTTGCCAAGCAAAATATTCTCACTAGCAGCAGCCAGATTTGTGATTTGAACGGGTTAGCTTAATAGAATAGATTCTATTTATTTTATGTAGATAAATGTTCCTTGCTTTTCAAATCTGATTAATGACGTATCTGGCCCATTAGGTCTTGTAGCTTCTGTACTCTTCCACAAGTTTATTTAACTAAAAATATAATGTAACTAAATATAAGATAAATAAAAAAAGGAAAAATGTTTTAGCTGCCGGCTTCTTTTCAGCCTTAATCTGGTTAAAAAGCTGAAGACTGCAGTATAACTCCGTAAATCACATTATATTATCAGGAGGAATGTCATAAGCATCTGCTTAATTCAAGTGTGCTTTTTCCCCTATACTTATCTGTAAAGCTTGTTGAGATGAAAAAGTATTACTTAAAAAAAGGTATTATTGCCACCATTGGTGGAAATTGCCATGTGGTACTATAGCACTGCTTTATACAAGGAAGGTAGGGACCTGATAAGTTTAGTTTCTCTAAAAATAATTCTTTCACTGACAAAGTATGCCTCCTCTTTTAAAATGCATCTTCCAAAACATGCATTTGTCTGCGTTCCTAGGGGCTTGCTCTGTTTATGGGCACTGCCCATGCATTTGACAAGTTTCACACACAAGACTTCTGCAAATTACAGCGAGGATCTCAATTTTTTTCCCCACAATTTTATCAGCATTGCCACTGGATGAAGGATTTGCAGGACTAAATCGTAACGCATGTGAATAGCGTCACCAAAGTCAGCTCTCTGGCCCTTATTCCTGGATAAGGTAGGTGGTATAGGATCCAATATTCTTGTAATGCATGTATTCTGAAGCAGTCACAGCACGTTGGGTTGTCAAAACAGATAGGGCAATCCTTTCGCAAAACAATTTGAATACCATCTTCTGAGTACATTAATTTTGATTTAATTCCCTGCTACTCTGAGCCATGCATTTGGAAAGGTCTCAGGTATTCCTTAATCTCTTCCAGTTCAGTAAGTATTTTAATGCAGGGCGAAAAGCACTCAGATTCAGTTTTATGTGGCTCGTACATTTTTTTAGGTACAGTGATTCAGCACATTTTTCATTCCACTTTAGGATTCTCATCCTGTGGGGCAGGAAGCTAAATATAACAAATACATGCCTTGCATGGTAGTTTTTAATACTTTTTGTTTAATACTTCTTTTGCTGGTGGAGTTTCAGGCACTGCTATTCCTATTTTCAGCATTTTAATATATTAATAAAGCTAACAGACTATTCTAAAGCAAATTAAGGTTTTTCATTATTCTGTACTGAAAGAGCAGCATGCCAAATCAAAGAGGAAGTTTCCACTGAACATCGCCGTAATTATTTTATGTGCCTGAAACCAGGAGAGATGTAGGTACATCCATGACTGAAAAACAGAGCTGGAGGGATGCAAGACATCACGTGGCCCACAGAGATGCCCACGGTGGAATTTCAGGGTGCAACAGCAGGAGACGTGTTGTGGTCCTCCTTGGTGGCGTTTGAGCTGAAACAAGCAGGAAGGGGAGCTCTTGCATGGAGCCGGTGCACATTTTCTGCCTGGAGCTCCTTGTCTTTGCCCAACCTCGGTGGGCTGCCTGAATGTTTGTATTTTATTGAGGATTTAAATATGCAATTGCTGTGGTAAAATGCAACTTGATTCGCCACTGGGTTTTTTTTTCCCCTAAAGAAGTTCAGAAAACATTGCGTTTATACAAGGATTTGTGGACAAAATGTATTATGCAGTTAAGTGAAGTAAATTGCAGTTACTCTGTAGCAAATAATTACCACCTGTTTCACATCTGCCTCAAATCTGCTAAAAATACTGCAATCTAGTAATCATTCTTGTATTTTTGTGTAGTTTTATTATTTGCATTTAGACTTCTGTTTACTTACCCAATTTACAACAATTTTTTTTATGCCTTCTGTACAGAGAATGGTGAATTTAATAACTTCGCTTGGATTTGTTTATAGAACCTTTCAAAATGCGTTTGCAGTGCATGACAGGGCTCCTGATACACTGCAGGCACTCAGTGGCCTTTTTCATCATGAACTGTGTGGTTGGGATAGTGCTACTTGCCACCCTCCAATCTCAGCATCTCCATTTCACTTTCAAAAATAGCCCACACTAACCCGTCACACACTTGGTTTCCCGAGTTTCTTCAAAGTCATGTTTTGCTCTGTTAACACAGGATCTTTTGGGTTGCTTGTTCAAAGCATCAGGATGCTTTGATGTTGGGATGGTGTCCTGGGTTCAGCAGTAGCAGTCATTTTTCCCCTTCTTGGTAGCTGGTGCAGTGCAGTGTTTTGACTTTCAGCTTGGGAACAGAGCTGATAGCGATGTTTTGGTTTGGCCAAGGACTTTGTGAGCCTCATGCTCTGCCAGGGAGGAGGGGAAGCCAGGGGGAAGCAGAGACAGGACACCTGACCCAAACTGACCAAAGAGGTATTCCATACCACAGCACATCATGCCCAGGATGTAACTGGGAGTTAGCCGGAAGGGCTGGTAGACTGCAGGGTTGGAGGAGGTATGGGTCGGTGCTTGGTTGGGCTGAGGGGGGCAAGTTATCGGTCGGCTGGTGCTGAGGTGTTGTATTTCCTTCCCTTGTTATTTCCTTTATCATTATTATCATTGGTGGTAGCAGTAGTGATTTGTGTTATACCTTAGTTACTAAACTGTTCTTATCTCAACCCGTGGGAGTTGCATTCTTTTCGATTCTCCTCTCCGTCCCTCCGGGAGCAGGGGGAGGGCAAGAAAGGGGGGGAAGTGAGCGAACGAGTTACCTGACTGGGTTTAAACCACGACAGATGGACAGTGAGGGAAATAAGGGATTTTAGCATGAATGATCACCAGGTATAGTGGAAATGCAAAGGAAAGGGACTAAAGTCAAAGATACACTGCTTTAAAACACTCAAACGAGTCTTCAAGCAGGGCTTGGACATTTTGTGCCTTGTGCTGATTGTTCTTGCTCACAGCAAGATGTATTGTCATAGTGGTTTCTTACAGTACTGCACTTCACAGCAAAACCATGAGTGTGGGAAGGAGGGCGAGGGGTTAATTCCTGGCAGCACATCTAGGCCATTCCCTGAAATCACAGGAGCAGAACCAGCTGAGCAGTGAATCAGGCCACCCTGCCTCTCCAGGACAGGAATAGCAAGAATCAGAAATCTTGCCCTCAGCTGTCCTGGTGTGCAGAAATGCAGAGGGAAGGCCAGTTACTCGCCTCAGAGTTTTGGGTCTTTTCCGTTATACCCAACTGGTTTAAGTGGTTTTGTAGTTCCAGTATTGAGAGCAAAACACAGTTCCCCATACTTTCAGCCTGAGGGTGATTGTCCTCCAGGGTGTCTTTCTATGGCAACACCATTAAATTCCCCTTAAACACACCCTTTAATTCCCCTTTAATTTTCCACCTTAGTTAGGAATTGTTTTTTCATACAGGCAACTCCATTCCATTTCTGTAGGGCCCTATTCACATGAGCCTCTCTCACAGCAGGAATGGTATTCCCCTCCACTTAAGCATTTATGCTTGGTTGTGATGCAGTGCTTGTGCCCAGCATATGCAGACAAGGGAATGCATGTTTCTGTTCTAACATTCTTCTACCGGAGGGGAGGACAGTGATGGGCTGGGATCTCCAAGTATTTGTTGAAGGTGGGGAAAAAAGCATAGCTAATAAAAGTTAAGCTTGGAGGATTCCAGGGGAATGAGTCACAAACTCAGCAGCACTACTGCATGTCTTTATAATACCTCTCAAAACTGCCTGTCAAAATCTCCCATTTAAGGAGCATGGTGGATTAGTAATTATGCACATCTGTTAGCTAAGCATCCATTCTTTCTCTCAAAGCTTTGTGGCAGTATCTCTCCAAAGAAGAACATATCTCATCTAGGTGTCTGCTAGATGGCCACAACACCTCCCCAAGGGAGATGCTTCTGACAACACTATATTAAAGACAGGGCTTGGTTTTGTCTTTTAAACTGTTATCACACAAGCCAGTGCACAAGGAAAGACACCTATTATAATTTTGTAGGTAAACGCTAACAAAAGCTGCCTGCATGCATGCACACACAGAAAAATTCAGTGTTAACATTGCAGGGGGCTCTGATGATGACAGGAGTACTTTCATTGCCAGCTCTGCTGGGGAAGAAAAAAATAAAACCTTATTTGTGCAAATAACTTGAGCTTAGCTTCATTCACAGGATTCCTATTTGCATATGTGAGTATGTTTTGTCAGCTCTGTCTTTAGGTACACATCCTCATCTTCAGGTACTGGTTCTTGTTTGTGTTAAACAGATTAGTGCCATAATAATACACATCCCCACAGAGACATGAGTATTGTATAGTAAGAATCCCAAATACATGGTGGTTTTGTTTTTTTGTTGTGGGTTTGTTGGTTGTTTGGTTGGTTCCCCCCCCCAAAAAAAAAGAATGCTTAATTAAACTGTCTTATGCTTAGATTTCCTGATTTATTCTGTTCATTAATGAAGGACAAGTCTGAAAAAGAACTAAGAGCAAAACTGGGAGCAGAGGATAGTAAAATCCATTGCTATTAATTAAGCTGAATTCCTCGAACATACCCCCTTCCAACTTCTTGTCTTCCAGATCCTAGATAACTTCGTTCTTTCAGTGACTACTGCTAGACAGATGCATCCTGTTGTGATAAAGGATACCAGCTGGATTTAGGACTGTGGCTTCACATTTGTGGTATGACTGACCATATGTGATGCTCTGTCAAGTTTGCAGCTTTAATGGGAAATCGCTGAAGTACTTGCATTTTGATTCATCTTTTTCATTGGCTTGGTAACAAAAGAGGGGATGGCTTTATGCACCTGGCTTGCACTGACATACGTTGCAGTGTGGTCTCTGCAGAGGAAAGGGAAGCTCTTGCATACTTACCCTTAAGAGTTGCTTTGGGATTGCTTTTGGGGTTTTGGGGTTGGTTTGGGTTCATTTGTTTGTTTTAGGAAAAAATAGCTGGGACCAGAAACTACATTTAATTGGGGATATAATTTTGAATTCTTATGCTGATCATGGTTTTTATCTGGCTTTAACAGAACTTAATAATTCTGTTAATTATTATTGTCTTCCTGTCTGCTTTAGGGAAATGGGTGTCTATGTAGGTCTGGGAACAGAAGGGAAAATACTTGTGAAAGAAGCGTAACAGACAGCAGACAGAACCTGGAGGATCTGAGGTCTGTTTTTTTTCCTAAGAAGGAGCACTATCAGACCCCAGTAGACTTTTCTGGTATTTCTGATCTCAGTGTAATTTGAAAGTGTATAAAGGATGTGTTTTCCATCATTTTAACCATGTAAGGCTCAAACATGTCTAATTCCCTTTGCTAAAAATATTGTATTTGTATGAGTTCATAGACCTGAATTTCTGATTTATGTCTTTTGATGCATGTATGTTGTTTTCTTGCTCATATGGCAATGAACAGCTGATATCTCTGGCTGGAGGGGGAAATGGTACATTGTGGAAACCTTGCCCACTAAACTGTGCTGGTGCATCTCTGTCCTGACCTACAACATCCTTGATGATCTCTGAGATCCTGTCCCAAATGCTGAATATCCTTCCCATCCACTGAAGACTATAGCAGTGTTCCCATAGGAGAGGCACTGAAGAAAATCTCCAGTTCCTACAGCTTTATTAGACCATTTGTTAGCCCTGCCATCATGTTAACGTTGGCTTTCCCTATCCCCAGACTATGACTTGGGTGTTAAAGATATGGTGGACAAGAGTTGAAGGTACCTGAGGCATTTGGCTGAGGGCAGGAGGGAGGAACTAGCATTAATATTAGTTTTCAGTTTTGTTAAGGAAGAGAGATGAGGAGAAGGACCCTCAGTTCCATGATCAAGATTGGACAAGTAATTGCAGCCTGCAGCATTTATTGGTCTTCCCCACTTGAGAGCAGTGAACATAGGAGCAAAGGACAGTGATGATCACATGGATATGGAGGACATAGGGATAGGATAATTCCCTTCCTTTTGCACTCTATGCAAGTTTTACTCTGAACATGCAGTGAGTGTATTATCATTTTGAATGGGTTACTTCACCTCCATTCCATCTGCTCCTCTGAGCTCTGAGTTTCAGGTAGAAAAGTCAAATGCTGAGGAAAATCTCATCTTCTAAGATTTGCAGCCTGACAGCAATTGGCAAGACATCAAGTCAGCCAAGTGTCTTGAAGTCCCCTGTTATATCTGTGGATAAAGAACTGGCTGGATGGCCGCGCACAAAGAGTTGTGGTCAATGGCTCAATGTCCAGCTGGAGACCAGTAACGAGTGGTGTCCCTCAGGGATCGGTGTTGGGACCGGTCTTGTTCAACATCTTTGTCGCTGACATGGACAGTGGGATTGAGTGCGCCCTCAGCAAGTTTGCCGATGACACCAAGCTGTGTGGTTCGGTTGATACCCTGGAGGGAAGGAATGCCATCCAGAGGGACCTCGACTCACTTGTGAGGTGGGCTGATGCCAACCTTACAAAGTTTTAACCATGCTAAGTGCAAGGTCCTACACCTGTGTTGGAGCAATCCCAGGTACAGCTACAGGTTGGGCAGAGAAGGGATTCAGAGCAGCCCTGCGGAGAAGGACTTGGGGGTGTTGGTCGATGAGAAAATGAACATGAGCCAAGAGTGCACACTCGCAGCCCAGAAAGCCAACCATACCCTGGGCTGCATCAAAAGGAGCGTGACCAGCAGGTCGAAGAGGTGATCCTGCCCCTCTACTCTGCTCTCGTGAGACCTCACCTGGAGTAGTGTGTACAGTTCTGCTGTCCTCAACATAAAAAGGACATAGAACTGTTGGAACAAGTCCAGAGGAGGTCCACGAGTATGTTCAGGGGGCTGGAGCATCTCCTGTATGAAGATAGGCTGAGAAAGTTGGGGCTGTTCAGCCTGGAGAAGAGAAGGCTGCATGGAGACCTCATAGCAGCCTTCCAGTATCTGAAGGGGGCCTATAAGGATGCTGGGGAGGGACTCATCATTAGGGACTGTAGTGATAGGACAAGGGGTAACAGGTTAAAACTTAAACAGGGGAAGTTTAGATTGGATATAAGGAGGAAGTTCTTTACTGTAAGGGTGGTTGGAATGGGTTGCCCAGGGAAGTTGTGAATATACCATCCCTGCTGGTGTTCGAGGCCAGGTTGGACAAAGCCTTGGGTGACATGGTTTAGTGTGAGGTGTCCCTGCCCATGGCAGGGGGGTTGGAACTAGATGATCTTAAGGTCCTTTCCAACCCTTACTATTCTGTTATTCTTTCTGGCCCTGCCTGTGCCACACAATGCAGTGGGGTGAGGAAGGACCAGTTGAGGTATTTCCTGCAGCAGCCTGGAGAAGAGAAGGCTGCATGGAGACCTCATAGCAGCCTTCCAGTATCTGAAGCGGGCCTATAGGGATGCTGGGGAGGGACTCATCATTAGGGACTGTAGTGATAGGACAAGGGGTAACAGGTTAAAACTTAAACAGGGGAAGTTTAGGTTGGATATAAGGAAGAAATTCTTTCCTGTTAGGGTGGTGAGGCACTGGAATGGGTTGCCCAGGGAAGTTGTGAATGCTCCATCCCTGGCAGTGTTCAAGGCCAGGTTGGACAAAGCCTTGGGTGACAGGGTTTAGTGTGAGGTGTCCCTGCCCATGGCAGGGGGGATGGAACTAGTTGCTCTTAAGGTCCTCTCCAACCCTAACTATTCTATGATTCTATGAAGCAGGTGCAGAGAGAAGGCATAGGTTAGCACTCAATACCCAGGCTTGGGCTTACAATTTGTCCTTTAGTTGAATACTTCCCATGCTTGTATTCAATATTGTCAGTGGCTTATGGCCAGACTGTATCTTCTCTGCACCTTATTAACACCAAACATTTGAACAGTGCCTTAACTTTAGTGATCAGCATCTTTTAAGATAGAGAGCAACTCATACTATTTTTTTTCACCCAGGACTGTCAAAACCCAGAGACTGAGCAAAGCAGGAAAAGCGAGGAATAGTTGCCTCCTCCATCAGTGAGCATGATGCTCAGTTGTGCTGGGATGCAGATGGGTTAGGTGGGATGCTTCTTACCGAATTGCTGCACCTTTATGCTTTTCATCCAGGAGGAGGGGCACAGAAGAAGCATCCAGGGTGGTGCAGGTGTCATCTAAACAATGAACAGGCAATCTGGTAATGGGCCATAGATTTCCCAGGTGAAAGCCAGCTTGTTATCAAGTAGATGTGAGTATTTTCCTATAAAGTGTTTCTAAAACGGATCTGTTGGCATCCAATTCTTTATGAAAATCATATCTAGATATCTACATGAAGGCTGTATTATGGAAGTACACTGAAAGAAAATGGTACACTTTAAGTATTTTGTGCATATTTGAGATCCTTTTTCATTTGAGGCAAAACTTTAATTTTTCTAGAGCTAAAAGATGTTTAAAATAGAAAGGAATAGTACAAAATAAAAATGATCAGACTCTGTCCAAAAAGAGCCTGTAGTGAAGCAGAGCATTTAGCAAGGACCATGTTGTTATCTGCTCCAACAGCAGGATGCTGGTGGACAGGACACCTCCAACTCTTCACAGGCCCTGCTGATGTGGTTGTAGTGTTAGCAGTCAGGTAGATTATACCACTCCTGCATTTTATTTTAAAGTGCTCTTTTACTTACACTGTTCCCTATGGCTGTAAATTAGTTTCCTGAAATGGGGTGGGGGGTCCTCTTCTGAGACATGTACGCTTCAGTGCTACTGAATATTTGATCACTTAAGCATTAGACCCTAATCTCCAAGCTTGTAAAGCTGCTTGTGTGAAGTAACACCTATTGAGCTCTGTCATGAATGGCAGCAGCCCTGTCCTGCTGCTACTTAAATAATGGAAAAAAGGCCCTGACATATCTCAATATTACATTCAACAAGCAAACCTTTGTGTTATTCCTTTAAATCAAGATGGACAGCGACATCCTAGACTAATACGGTGCCTATCAGAAGTGTAAGTTTCATCTAAACATGTCTCAGAGACTATTTTCTCATTATAAAGAATATGCTGGCCCAGTGTAAATGTCAGTGAGCTCAAGTATTTTGTGCAATGAAATGGACAGATCTAAACCAACAGCAAGAGTCAGGCCTGGGTCCTGGGAAATGCTGAAGAGTGAGTGCTTGCTTTCCGTTTTTAAGCACTCTGTTTTAAGTCCATCTGCCCACTGGTTTGAGTCTTGATCAGCCTCAGAAGGGCAGTAACTTTGCACACACCTTTTTTCTTCAGAAATAATTCTTCATGATGATCTAGTGGGTTGTACTGTGGAGATTTGATTATTAACAAGTATTTCCTTAGTCTAGATTTTAAACATTCCCATACACAGTCAGGAAAACATGAATGAGATATCCTTCCTGAACAGATGTGTTGGTGGAAAGCAGTCTCCCGTGCGCAGACAGGGAAGCGTACAAACTGTGGTATTCAGTTTTGTTGTCTGCAATTGGTAACACTTAGCAAGAGACAGTCAAGCATCTGGAAGATTAATTTGAAGTACATATGTATTGTTCAGGTGAAACCACCAGAAAAAAAAGACTGAAAAATTCTTTTGAATTTCTCCATGATGAAACAAAGTTCCTCAGGACATCTAAAAGCAATCCTGAAGTCCCCAGTGATAATGATCAACAGTAATTACAAGGTGATTTTCCCAACAGAGAATCAGCTCACTAAAAATGCATCTTGCTGTGAATATATAGCAACATATGAGCCTTTACTAAGGCATCAGCTGATTATTATTCTGCTACTGGATTTTATTTTCTTCTTCTACTCCCTCTCTTGCAGGAAGGCTGCATACAAATATAGCAGTTGATTGTGAGATGTTAACTCCTTTATGAGATTAATTACAAACATAGGGATGCTGTGTCTAGCCCGTGTGTGTAATTGATCTTGTAGGAGGAAATGCGATAGGAAACTGATGCTTCCTTTTATCCAGTAAGCAAAGTTCAGAGATGTTTATATTCTGCTGGGTAAGCACAGCTGTCTTAAAGACGTGAACACGGATGGACTGTCCTGTCAGCACAAATTCATGCCAAGGTAACAGGCTATGCCGTCTCTGTGGACCTCTTTCCAGCCAGGAGGCTGTGGGGCCAGAATCGCTGATTTAGCAAATAGCTAAATTGTGTCAGATTTTAATTAGTGGGGAGACCCAGGCAGAGTTGATGCGCTGCAAGGGGCAGCAAGGGGAAGGTTTTGGTGGGCTACACTGGGTGGTGGGGCAAGGAGGAAGGCTCCTGGAAATGCTGAGCATGGCGTTGGGCATCGCAGGGCAGCGTTCAGAAACTGACAGGGCTTTTACTTTAAAACCTGGCCGGCATAAGGAAGGATCTGCACATCCACTCTCACAGCGTGTAGCTGTGGAAGCACCTGCA